CAAGGGGTTAATAAACATTTAACTCCGTTCTCATGAACCAACTACGGCCCTGGGAAGCCTGGCTCCTTCCCTGCAGGGAGGGTTCACCGTCCAGGTTGAGAACTGGGCTTCCTGCATTTACTATTCAAGGTGGGTGATGCTTCCTGCAGCAGCGAGGACACCCAGGGTTCTCTGTCGGGGAGGGTGGAGGCCTCAGCCCTCTTGGAAGCTTTGGAGAAGCTCTGAGGATAATTCTAGCCCAAGCCACAGTAGGCTGGGCCTCACTTCCTTCTAATGGCCCCAGGGGCTTGAGATGCTTGTGGGCGAGCCAGGCCCTCTTGCCAAAAAGAAGGCAGGGTGCAGTGCCCCCACCAAAACCATAAATCTTTCGGGGGAGCTGGTAACCTCCTCTTTCTCCCATGCTATGCAGCCAGCAGCCCAATGCCTAACCCACAGTGCCACCAGGGCTCCTTGCAAGTCCCACCAACACGGCAAGTCCTCCCCGGAGCCCAGAGGCAGATGCAAGTCCCTGCATGCAGACACAGGTCTTGGGACCTCTGTCTGGCTACAGAAACCGGTCAGTGGCGGCAGCAGGACAAAGGCTGGGAAGAACTGCCCAGCAGCCCCTGTGCTTAGTCCCAACAGTGTCTGAGCTGACGGCCCGGTGGAGAGAGCAGACTGAAGTGGGGCGTCCCATGCTGCTGAGAGGAGCTGGAAGTGAAAAGCCGCCGCCCATGTCCATTCCTCTCACATGCAGAACATCTCCTTGCAGCTCCGGCCTTCACAGGACTTGGCCCACGGCACCATGGGTCCCTGGGACCCAGGGCCGCATGTCCTTATCTCCTAAATGCCACCCTGATCCTGATCCTGGGGTGCAGGCACTACAAGAGAAGGGCCACAAGTGGACGGGGGCCCACAGACAGGGCAGAGCCCGGGGTGAGGAAGGAGGCAGCACCAGCCTCCCCGCCAGTCCCAGGTGGGAGAGGCCTACGATCAGAGGGCCGGGCACACACCAGGGGCGGCAGAGGACTGGTCATAGCCTCTCAGCATGCAAGTGATGAGAACATGCTTCCACTGGGGGTGGGGAGAGGTGACCAGGTCCCTGTGGGCAAGCTGTGCTCTGGGCCTGGCTGGGTGATGCGCATCAGAGGGTCTCTCCCTGAACTCCCACTCAATCCTGCCCGGTGGGCCCTGCTTGTCCCACTTTGTGCTTTGAAACAGGCACAGAGAGGCTGAGGAGAACTGCTCGACCCCCAGGCCGGCTAAGAACTCAGAGAGCCAGGACAGAGGCACTTCCCCCCAGACTTGTACCTGCCTCCTCTCAGGCCCCGGCACAAAGCCTGCCACCATCCGGACTGGATGAAGGAACAGCGGCCCGGACCTGGAGGCTGGCTGGCAGGCTGGCATAGCGTCATGTCCATGTGGGACTGAGGGTGCAGGGCACGCTCTCCAGAACCAGGTCGTGAGTGCTCCTGGGCCTGATGAACTGTTTCCTGCCACCGCCTATGTGCCAGGGCTGTGGGCAGTCACCCACAGCCAGCGTGGACCAGACACTCAGCGGCCCTGGGAACATGAGCCTGCCACTCCCCAGTGAGGCCAAGGACCCCAAGCAAGTTCCCGAAGTCCCCCAGCTTCAGCACAGACAACGGTAGCCAACAATACAAACCCTAAAGTCCCACCCCTGCCACGGGCCAGTTCCAACTCACAGCGACCCCATAGGGCAGAGCAGACTGCCTCAGTTAGCAGTCAGTCTAGGGACTCAAACACCGTGCTACCAAGACTCTTTAACAAACAACGTGCCTTTGTGTTCTGGGTTGCTATCGATCAAATGAGGCGACAAGTACGAAGTCTGAGACACTGTGCCTAACACACAGCGGTGCACTGATTCCCTGTGCCCTGCTCCTGTCTCAGCTGCCCCCAGCCATGCTCATCAGGCCAGGGCAGTCTACGAGGTGGCGAGGAGACGCTGAGAAATGGCGCAGGGCCACGTGCCTAAGAATACTGCTTACCAGCTCTCTGCACACCGCTCCTTAGGAGGCCCCACAGCACACACTGACATGCTGTCAGGAGGGCCCATCTCTGGACACGCACCTCAGGTCTGATGAATTGAGGGTCAACGGAAAAGAGGCAGACCTTCAACAAGATGGGCAGTCAGTGGCCCCAAGAAGGGGCTTGGATGTAAACAGACCGTGAGGATGGCGCCGCCCGGGGTGGAGTTTCCCTGTACTGTCTGAGGGTTGCTTGGAGAGAAACCAATCTGACAGCACTTACCTGGGGCAGGCACTGAGAACCCTTGGCCCTGTGATTCACCAGGTAGGGTGCCACCAGAGGGCAGGCCTGGAGGGCCGGGCTGCTCGTGACTAGAATCCTGATTCAGCACTCTAGTGCCTCAGAAAAGACCCATATTAGTGTGTGGCTCCCCCACTGCCCCCCTGGTGGCAAGCTTACTTGTTGCTGTCCCGGTGCTCGTGGATGTGACACCCTTGAGGCAGCCCGGTCTCGTGGTCCAGAGTGAAAGCCAGTTTCAGCTGGGGGAGGGGAGGGGGGAGAAAAGAGCAGGTTTAGACTCCACGCGTGCATTGGTTTTTTGTTTTTTTTTGCGACTCAAAGGCACTTTATTTTTCTATAAAATCATTTCCTAGAGGGAAAAAGCAAAGCCCCCTTCAAATACTAAGAATAAACAACCACCCCTTGAAGAGGCAAATATCCTAAAGTGGGCTCATCAAAAGTCCTTGACCCCCAAGGGTCGGCTGATCCCCAAGGCCCTTTGGGTGGTCGGACTCTTCGATGTCACAGTTCTTAGCCCCTCCCAGCACAGGTGCCCGGGAGAGAAGCTCCAGCAGTCTCATCTTACAGACGGTCAAACTGACGCCCACATCAGATAAGGCCAACGCCTTCCATCAATCAGCAGGCCCCGGGACCTCGCCTGGTCCTTTGCCCTTCAGCCTCCTGCCAGTTTTCTAACCAAAGGCTGTCTCGTGGAGGGAGGGCAGGGCTGCCGCGGGCACCACCTCTACATTCAGGGTGGTCCAGCTGAGGCCCACCACCACCCAGGCCTCAGTCGGCTGTGCTGTGTTTGTGTTGTGTTGCTGCGATGTGGAAAATGCCAGAACTCTACCTATCGGTGTGGTCAGCTACAACGGGCAGGTTTCGGTGGGGCTGACAGCCTAAGAAAGGCCTGGCAATCTCTTCCTGAAGTTTAGCTAAGGGAAGCCCTAGGGACTTCCGGAGTTCTCTTGCTGGGGGAGTGGTGAAGCCGACTGCTGGTGAGATGGATTGGCACAAGGGCTGCAAGGGTGGGCTAGGCCATGCCAGCAACGGGGAGGACGACACAGGACTGGGGGGGGCGGGTCAGTCGGTTGTATGTTGGGTCACCACATGTCACAGCTCCATGGCAGCCAGCCTGGGTTGCGATGGTCTGGCTTGTCGCCTGGAAATGTACCTGGAAGTGCAGGGCCCAGGCACACCGGGACACCGACAGAAGTCACGGGTGACATGTCCCCTTCCACCTCTGGCACATTCCCCTCCCTGCTGGGTCCCACTCCTGCAGTGGACGCCCTGTGAGGACGTGGGGATGCACGCCTGGGAGGGAGGGGCGCCTCTCCTGGGAGGCTGCTGTCGCTGAGGAGGGCCAGACAGGGAGGTGAGCTGTCGACGGAGGGGGAAGCAGGGAGCTTCAGCAGGTGAGGACCTTCCCCAAGAACCACACAGTGCAGCAAGGAAGACGGACAGTGATCAGACAGTCACACAGATGAAGGTCCATGCGGGACCCAGAGGGTTTATGGGAAATGAGATGAAAGATAAAGGCCCTCCCCAGAGCTGTTTGAATGCCTTTTATATACACACAGCTATACACTTATGTACACATGCACACAGCTGTCTACCTATGTACACATACACACAACTATACACTCATGGAGA